ACTTCAACTCCCAGAACTCCCCAGCCAGCATGCTGGCTGGGGAATTCTGGGAGTTGAAGTCTATACATCTTAAAGTTGATAAGGTTGAGAAACACTGGTCTAGCCCAACCTATGTCTATTGTGCTAGCAAAGCAGGATAGGACTTGTGATTTGTCTGATGTGTGGGGTACCAGATTGGGGAAGGCTGGGGAATGGGTGCATTCCACATAGGGACTGCATTCAGCTTCTTAAGGTTAGAGTCAGGGCAGGTATTATGAAGAGACAACAGCGAGCTATGATAATGTTTGATAAATGTCAGTGTAACATAAATCCCAAGAATGTAGGGTAGAATGGGATCTGACTGACTAAATCAGTGAAATAGATGCTGAGTAATAATTTAGGATAAATTGACAATTTTTGTAAATCAGTTTTGCATATGTGGAAGAAGCTGATTCAGACTTGCAAGATCTGTGATCTAGAATACTGGGGACTGAGATCAGATGGTGGCCTCGAGCAATATTTGCCACAATGAACTTCTGTACCCATCCCCTTGAGCATATGTTTTTGCCCATAAAAGTGAATTCACTCTTGAATTATTGTTGATTGAAAATTCTAACCACAGATTTTAAAATGTATTAAGGGAAATACCTAATAGCACATAACCAATAATACTGAAATTTCCAAGATGTGGAAGATTGGGTCAGATGAATCCAAAGCCAACATGGTTGGCCACAAATCAAGTTCAACAGAATCATGAAAGGTTATTTCAGTGCCCTCTGAACCATTTATGTTGGGCCCCCCAACCAAGCTATGCTGCCATTCCAATCTAATAAAATGTATGCAAAGTCAACAACTGTACTTTGGGTAAGTTTCTTCAGTGTAAATAAAGTGTAGTTGGGAGTTGTGCATGTAAATGCAGGAATTTAAAAACATTAATTTTACAGATTAGAGGTACCAAGCTCAAAAATGTCTCAGGAAAGGCTGTATCATTGCTGGAGAATTAAATAAAAGCTACCAGTTGAACTCACCTGTATATATTTTAAATAGAATATCACAGATGGGAAGAAAGAGTGGTGCAGAAAGCTTTGAGTTCAGATACCTCTTCTCTCTTGTACCACCTTCTTTTCTTAAACATATGTTCTGTGTAGTCTTTTATATTTTGAGATATAAAATACTTTATATGATTTCTTATAAGTGTATGGTAGAAAGCATGTGTGCATACAAAGGAAAGGAGTGTTTCACGGATTGGGTTCACACATCATGCTAAGTATGACGTCTTGTTTTCATTTACTGAGTTTGACTGGCCAGCCCTTGTAATGGTGTGCAAACCCTGTAACAGAGTAAGGGATATTCCTGATCTGAAGGGGCCAAAGCAAAGAGGAGGGAATTTTCTATGCAGGGACATTCAAGCAGAGATGTGGGTTTTTGAAATATTTTAAATTGGAAAATGTTGCTGTGTAGATGAGTATGATTCCAAATACCATATTCAATATCCATAGTCTGTACAAGTATTTGGGCTATGTTATTTGTTGTGGGGGGAAAAACTAGCCAATTTGATGAGGTTTGAGCAGCGTATTTCAAAGAAACTAAACATTCTGATGTGTAGGGAAAATTATTTTTATTGGAATGTTGGGAACATATTGGGCAATAAAACATCATTCAACTTTGAAACTGCCCAATGTGCCCGAAGTGGAACATTTTCCAGCCCACAACTTTGAAGTTAAGAGTGCCTGGCCCATGAGGATATTGTTGGGACTAAGTTCAACAAACACAGAGAAAAGAAAATGTGGACCCCAAATCAGTATTTTGGTCTCCTGGTAGAACTGGGAATGGCCATCTGGATTACCCACAAGATGAAGGCCTTCTTGATAACAGAGGCAGTGCTGGCCATTTCTTTTGAACAAATGATCTAAGATTTCTCCATCTTAGTCAACAATATTGACTAACAATGTACCAATGTTTGTGGTTGTCCTGCTTGGCCTAGAAATTTAGTTTAGCCTGTGGAGATCTAATTTGTTTGTATACAAGCCATACCTGGTTTATGTCAACATTTAGAATTCTGTGCAGGTTTTCAGTCATTCTTTCTCCCTCACCCCAATGCAAATGTATCCC